GAATAATCTTTAGAATTGAAGCCTGTGTCGGGTCTTCAGCCGCTGCACTAAAACCTCACACAGACCCGTCACGTCCGCCCGAAGCTCCCCTTACACTTTATAAACACGCAATCATTCAATCCTGTTACGTTCCAACCAGAAGTTATTTTTGCCCTTACTACTTCTAACCCCATTAAGTGCCGAGACCCAAAATACCAGCTCCTCTCGGTCCGAAGCACAAACATCTGCAGGAGTAGCATGTCCATGTGTCCGTAAACATTTACATACCCCGCTCCAACACGCCGCAGCCCGGATCTCACTGATTACACTGCCTGGCCTCTCCACGCCGAAGAGACCCACGGTAATTAGCACAAGCTCGTCCCGTCTCCAAAAGTCCTGCACTGAAAAACAATTTGAGTAGCGAGAAGTCTGTCTTAATTTGATTCGGAGCCAAAAATATATTCCCTCCCGGGCTGGATCCAAATGTCCAAGCTCTTCCATACATGGGGCCCAAGATGGCGGTAGAATGGATGGTTATTGATTCATTGTTTGGATGATGAAAATTTAATTCAATGTGTTTTTGTTATCGCTGAGGACTTTACAAAGCTGTCGATTTGCCAACACAGATCAGAGAATCAAACAGTTTGAACACAGCAAATGTGAAGAGGCGTTGGTCCATAAGGGGTAGAGACCGATGTCCAGAAAGGTCGGTGAATGAGATTTTTTGACCAAAACCAAACCGAAGTGATGCCCCTGGAGAATATCGTCATATATAAAAACTTCAGCGCAATCAAAAGTAAACCTATCCATAGAGGGACTTTCTAAAATCGCTAATCCTCACCATAGTAGTACACAACATTTTTCTTCTCAACTTGACAATTACGATTTTACTTAACAGTGTAGATTAGCTAAGTTCTGAAATACGTTCTCTTTTTGGTCTCCATTCCAGCTCCAAAGCCAAGCAACCCTTGTTCCATCCCAAATGATCACTCAACTCTAGTATTGGCCTGAGAATATGCAAGCCCCCTCCCCATTGTTTGGAAAGCTTCTTCTTGACCTGGTAAACTAGTCTTGCGTCTGAAAGATGGCATTTTTATGAGACAAAACCCAAACATCTTTTCTGGTGCGTCGTCATGGGTGGCTGCGGACCCAGTTTTCACACCGGGCGTAACCTCTGCGCCACTGGAAAAAAGCCATCATTGCTCTTTTAAAGGGAGCAAGGGTCAGGCAGCGTGTCCAAGAGCCGTACGAGTCTGGACATTCCTGGGCCGTCAACAAGTCCACAGTATTCCATTCAATTCACGTCAATGTATTTTTGTGTAGCCCTAAATCACAGTAATACAGTAATTTTCCTCGGAGGACTCAACCATTTGCCGTCACAGATATAAATAAAAGAATAAAACTGAAATCGCAATGAGAAAAAACACAAAGAGCCATTGGTCCATAAGAGACAGAGACCCATGTCCATAAATGTCTTTGAATGTCGTGGATCATCACTGCTGTCCTTAGACCCTCCGGGCATCGTATTCCATATTTGGGCTTACCTTGTACTCCCCACGCCCCACTCAAATCATTTCGAAGCTTCATAACAGCCGGAAACCCTGACCAAAATGTTCACGTGGATTTGGGGACCAATCACAGAATAGCGAGAGCGCAAAATGTTGATGATGACGTACTATTGGTAGTTCTTGAAATAAGATTAAATGGCTTTGTCCCATTGGAGAATCTTGTTTTAAGTCAGATTTATTTTCTAATGAGTTAATTATAATGTGTATTACTACAAACAATTTAATACTATTTAATTGAAAACTTGAGCTTCAGCTGTGTATGAATTCAGGCCTTAAAAAGTGCTGAGTAGAAACTTAGCGTGACGCCCGCTCTCCTCCAATCACAGAACGAGGTGCAGCGCTGTTACGAACAGGCTGCTTCCTCTAGGCCACGCCTCCTCTAGCATCTAGCGCAGGTAAAGCATGGATCTATGAGGTAAACACAGCGGGAGCGGGACCGCCACGGACTAACTTTGGACGCAAAACTAGCAGTAATCTTTCAGTTATATATTTTGTTAACAGTGCGTTGCTTTTGTACCATTTCATTGTTACAAGAAGTTGGGCTCATGCTAATGTTTGCATATGTATCAGATCGCAAATAAAACTAGATGGCTTCGTGGGAGGAGAGCGTAGGGGAAATGAGAAGTCTGTGAGTGAGCTGGGGGCGGTGCTAAACATTCAAACTAGGGATGTAAATCGGTGACCGTTTAACCGGTGGTTGACCGTCACAGCGTTAACCGGTCAAAGCTGTCGGTTAAAAAAGAGAAAAGGGGGAGAGGGGAGGTCTCTTCATAACGCTATTTTAAGCCCTATTTGCACGATGTGACGAGCGGGTCCGTATCTAGCTGTGTGCGCTAATGTAACGGTAAACTCCGGGCCGACCCTCACGCCGCACGCGCCGCATATGCACGCACACACACATATTTTCCCCCCCTCGTAACACGTAACATCCACACGCATCATCTCTCCCCTGTTACCGCCTGCTAGTTGCACACTGGTGCGGGTCAGAACTACATTGGAGCTTTTATTTACACACACATACATACATGTATTGCACAAACACACATAGCTTACATATACACACACACAGACATATACACACATACATACATGTATTGTACACACACACATACCGGTCTGTCGCGCTCCTCTGTGTCACTGTGACGAAGCAGGCCACTTCGTCCCATATTTTTCCTATTTTGACAGCTTATTTCATTTGTTCACATTCATTTGCTTTACTATGTTATCTGCTATGAGATAGTTTCTTTAACACTCACCTTTTGAGTTGCAGCTATACTCACCTCACCACATGGTCCATGCAAAGAGGAGGCGTGCCCTTCATCGGCCATTTTTGTAGGCTGTGGGAGGGTCTTTGGACCAGACCATGTGGATGGGGGAGGTTTGGGATTTTGGGTTTGTTTAACAGGTTGTTTTGTTAAAGCAAAGGAAGGTTTCTCACCCATCATCTGTACTTCTTAGCAAGTTTTCCCAACGTTTCGTCCTCAACCTGGGGACTTCTTCAGGGAATGAAGAAGTTCCCTGAAGAACTTCTTCATTTCCCTGCAGAGAGCTACTTTCCAAGCACGATAAAGACAGAGAGCTACTTTACCAGCACGATCAGGGCAGAGAGCTACTTTCCCAGCACGATCAGGGCAGAGAGCTACTTTCCCAGCACGATCAGGGCAGAGAGCTACTTTCCCAGCACGATCGAACAGGGCAGGGAGCTACTTTCCCAGCACGATACAGGCAGGGAGCTACTTTCCCAGCACGATACAGACAGAGAGCTACTTTCCCGGCACGATACAGACGGAGAGCTACTTTACCAGCACGATAAAGACAGTGAGCTACTTTCCCAGCACGATACAGACGGAGAGCTACTTTCCCAGCACGATACAGAGAGAGCTACTTTCCCAGCACGATAAAGACAGAGAGCTACTTTCCCAGCACGATAAAGACAGAGAGCTACTTTCCCAGCACAATCAGGGCAGAGAGCTACTTTCCCAGCACGATCAGGGCAGAGAGCTACTTTCCCAGCACGATCAGGGCAGGGAGCTACTTTACCAGCACGATAAAGACAGTGAGCTACTTTCCCAGCACGATACAGACGGAGAGCTACTTTCCCAGCACGATACAGAGAGAGCTACTTTCCCAGCACGATAAAGACAGAGAGCTACTTTCCCAGCACGATAAAGACAGAGAGCTACTTTCCCAGCACGATACAGAGAGAGCTACTTTCCCAGCACGATAAAGACAGAGAGCTACTTTCCCAGCACGATAAAGACAGAGAGCTACTTTCCCAGCACAATCAGGGCAGAGAGCTACTTTCCCAGCACGATACAGACAGAGAGCTACTTTACCAGCAAGATAAAGACAGAGAGCTACTTTACCAGCACGATAAAGACAGAGTTACTTTCCCAGCACGATACAGACAGAGAGCTACTTTACCAGCATGATAAAGACAGAGAGCTATTTTCCCAGCACGATAAAGACAGAGTTACTTCCCCAGCACGATCAGGGCAGAGAGCTACTTTCCCAGCACGATCAGGGCAGAGAGCTACTTTCCCAGCACGATCAGGGCAGAGAGCTACTTTCCCAGCACGATCAGGGCAGAGAGCTACTTTCCCAGCACGATAAAGACAGAGAGCTACTTTCCCAGCACGATAAAGACAGAGCTACTTTCCCAGCACGATCAGGGCAGAGAGCTACTTTCCAAGCACGATAAAGACAGAGAGCTACTTTCTCAGCACGATCAGGGCAGAGAGCTACTTTCCCAGCACGATCAGGGCAGAGAGCTACTTTCCCAGCACGATCAGGGCAGAGAGCTACTTTCCCAGCACGATAAAGACAGAGCTACTTTCCCAGCACGATCAGGGCAGAGAGCTACTTTCCCAGCACGATAAAGACAGAGAGCTACTTTCCCAGCACGATAAAGACAGAGAGCTACTTTCCCAGCACAATCAGGGCAGAGAGCTACTTTCCCAGCACGATCAGGGCAGGGAGCTACTTTCCCAGCACGATACAGGCAGGGAGCTACTTTCCCAGCACGATACAGACAGAGAGCTACTTTCCCAGCACGATACAGACAGAGAGCTACTTTACCAGCACGATAAAGACAGAGAGCTACTTTCCCAGCACGATAAAGACAGAGCTACTTTCCCAGCACGATCAGGGCAGAGCTACTTTCCCAGCAGCTCTCTGTCTGTATCGTATACAAATACACTTGCCTTGCCTTACAGGTTCGAGATGTTAGCCCTACGGCATCAAAAACCTCTTTAGAGCCTGGTTCAGATTGGTTAGATTTAGTTTAACCAGGACTATTTAGTCGTTAACCCTAACTTTGAACGGGAAAGACCACAAAGAGTCCATGTTATTTACGGTCTGTGATTTGGACGGAGGAGGGGCAGTGTGTTTTCTTTCAGATTCAAGACAGAAATTCCTCATTTTTTAAAACTAAAAAACAAAATGAGACTATGTTTACCAGGTGAACTGCTCCTGGACCACACCCACCTCTTTGATGGCGGACATCTTGACGGTCTCGTAGTAGTGCAGCGGCGCGTGGGGCATGCTCATGTCGTAGCCGAAGCCCGCCACCGCCACCTCGTCACAGTTGTGGAGCGCCATAGTGATCGCAACTGTCCCGAGCGTTGGAATGTTCTGCACACAACACACACACACAGACAAACAAGGCTTAGTTGTTATCATTGGGTCCGTCCGCTTCTCGAGTGATGCCGAAAATAGACAGCGAGAAACTGGAAGAGACCCCAGAAATACTTGTACGACTTTATCCAGGTCTTAATGAAGATGAAACAGAGGTTTTTATTCCAAACTCAACAACGCAGCAGACAAGAAGCCAAAGCTGATCTTGGCCGGTTTTAAATATGAAAAGTCTTAAGGTCTTAGAACGAGACAAGTCTGGAGTAAAACTATAAGCTGAGGTTATGCTCACACACACACAGACACACACACACACACGGTCCAACACCAGACTGACGCCAACACACATTTTTAAACTACATAAGACATAAAACTGGATTATCTGGATTTAACTGGATTTAAACTCTAAAAAGTCCTTTATTGTATTTCATAGTGATTTTTTAATAAATGTTTGTAAGATGGTTTTTCCGTTTTATTGTTTTCTTCACATACAGTGCCTTGCGAAAGTATTCGGCCCCCTTGAACCTTTCAACATTTCGCTATCAGTTTTGCACATCAAGAGACTGGAATCTTTCCCATTCTTTCTTGCAAAACAGCTCGAGCTCAGTGAGGTTGGATGGAGAGTGTTTGTGAACAGCAGTCTTCAGCTCTTTCCACAGATTCTCGATTGGATTCAGGTCTGGACTTTGACTTGGCCGTTCTAACACCTGGATACGTCTATTTGTGAACCATTCCATTGTAGATTTGGCTTTATGTTTTGGATCATTGTCCTGTTGGAAGATAAATCTCATTGGTTCCATGGACCAGCACCTTCTTCCACATGTTTGGTGCGTCTCCCAGGTGGCTTGTGGCAAACTTTAAACGATACTTTTTATGGATATCTTTGAGAAATGGCTTTCTTCTTGCCACTCTTCCATAAAGGCCAGATTTGTGCAGTGCACGACTGATTGTTGTCCTATGGACAGACTCTCCCACCTCAGCTGTAGTTATCTGCAGTTCATCCAGAGTGATCATGGGCCTCTTGGCTACATCTCTGATCAGTCTTCTCCTTGTTTGAGATGAAAGTTTGGAGGGACGGCCGGGTCTTGGTAGATTTGCAGTGGTCTGATACTCCTTCCATTTCAATATAATTGCTTGCACAGTGCTCCTTGAGATGTTTAAAGCTTGGGAAATCTTTTTGTATCCAAATCCAGCTTTAAACTTCTCCACAACAGTATCTCGGACCTGCCTGGTGTGTTCCTTTGTCTTCATGGTTCTCTCTGTGCTTTAAACAGAACCCTGAGACTATCAAAGAACAGGTGCATTTATACGGAGACTTGATTACACACAGGAGCATTCTACTTATCATCATCAGTCATTTAGGACAACATTGGATCATTCAAAGATCCTCACTGAACTTCTGGACTGAGTTTGCTGCACTGAAAGTAAAGGGGCCGAATAATATTGCACGCCCCACTTTTCAGTTTTTTTTTGTTAAAAAAGTTTAAATTATCCAATAAATTTTGTTCCACTTCACGATTGTGTCCCACTTGTTGATTCATGACAAAAAAATAAAATGTTATATCTTTATGTTTGAAGCCTGAAATGTGGTGAAATGTTGAAAGGTTCAAGGGGGCCGAATTACTTTTGCAAGGCACTGTATCTTGCATATCTTTCATATGGCAGCAGTACAGTATGAATCCAGGTTGTACAAAAAAGAACAAAGAATACTGCTTGACCATAGGCTGTAAATATTAACGGACATAGTCACGCCTATCTCCGCTGTTGAAACTAATGTGCCATCACTTTCGCTGTCAAAATGGCCGCAGGGGCTGGAAAATGCGCAAAAAATTATTTGCGCATGCACTAGCCACATTGATTTAATGAGTGCATTCTTAAGTCCACAGCGGCTAAACTAGACTGGTCCAAAAAAATACACTCCCTTCAACATCGACAACATGTGGAACGGAGCTTTGGACCAAGAGCCGACTTTCGGACCATCCTGTAAAGACGTTAAAGAGGTAAGAAGATGCTATACATTAGCATTGGTTAATTCTTATTCCGGGTCCACCCCCACTGGGCCGGGGTGGTATTGCAGCATGTCAGCGCACGTCATTTTGAACATTTTTGATTCAGGACCCCTCCCCCACTGGTCTTGACAGATATTTTATATGTAATTCTTATGCTAAAGTCAGAGATTTTGTACTTGCTTCTTCTAAATGTTTTATTTTATATTAGCATAGAGTTATTTATCATTTATCCTGTGCAGTGTGCTCCTCATTCCTACTGTTCTGTAACTAATGATGCAACACTGACATTTCCCCACAGTGGGACGAATAAGTGGCTTGAAAATGTAGTTGAAACTATACTAGAAATAATTCTCACACTGCTCAAGCGTCTCAAAGAATCCTCACTGATTTCTTCTTACCCCAGAAAGTTCAGCGCTGTTGCTTTAACCTGCACTTATACCAGAACACAACGAGACAAGGTCATGTGACGTTTGCCAAGAAAATAACTGATAAAAAATCTGATGCTAATTAAGTCCCTGCCTTTTTGCTAATTGCGACTATACAAATCTCTAATGAATTTCTAAAAATAGACCCGGTTTCCCAATAGCATTAGCGCTTGATTTTGCTGCTTGTCCAAACTTTTCCCCCCGGTTTCGTCTCATCAGCTCAGGCAGGCGCTGGGCTCTGGATTGGAGCAGACTTGCGGTAATTGCAAGGTCAATGCACTACACCAGAAAAAACAGCTCCGACAGAACCTTTACCATCGGCCCCTGCTCTGCATCATCTACCGTAATTGCCCTCTGCATGTGTGTTCTACTGATGACTTGGATCCAAAATATCTGCTTGAAAAAAAAATTACCCGAAAAACGTAGCTTCACCTATCCCTGCTCCCTCACCTCCCCCTCTACCTCCTCTACCTCCCCCACCTCC